GAGTCACTTTTCGCTAAAATTGATGGTTTTCCCAGCAAAGTGAAAAAACTGTTTTCCTCACTTATTTGTTTAAATAGAAAAGTTAGCTAATAAAAGTTTTTGACTCACGAGACGAGAGATGTCTTGTATTATGTTCTTTTAGACAATTTTACAATAATCTCGCGGATAGGACTTTTTTCGAGCAAAAATTTAATTTGCTTGGTCTAATGCCGATAGCTTAGCCTGTCGAAAACCCTTTCTGTTACCGGATGTCTAAACACATGCATATTAGGAAGTCCGATTACAGGACGACTATCTACTTCCTTCTATTTATCTCGCCAGCCATAAAACCGCATTGCGATTCGTTCACGGAAACGGTGCCGCTGATTTACATACACTTTTAATAGCTGACCAATATATTTTTTTCAAGACAAATAAAGACCAATGCTCTACCGAAGAAATACAAGATTATATTGGTTATAAAACTTGTCCGTGTGTACGGTTCTAATCTTGTTTTTTTGCGCTAACCGTAGTAGACAGGTCCATCTTACATTATTTCAACTATCGATCAACCGAAAACAAAGCAATCCGCGTAAAACCGCGTTCCAATCAATAAAATTCCACCCTCCATTTATATTGATGCATATGAAATTCCGATGGCGTCGCATAAATTGATAAATTGGGATTTCAAGGCACACGCAGCGTTAACAACAATAAACGGCATTGTTCCAGCAGATATCTCAAAATGTGACACATAGTCGAACAGGAATGTCGTGCAGTCCTTATCGCGTCACCGATGCTCCGTAAGACAGACAAAAGAACAACGACGACAAGGAGAAAGTTAAAGCTGTCACCGATAAGACAACGATAAGAGGATGATAATATGTAGGTGAGCGACTTCAGTAGAAAACTATGTTTCGCATTTCGACAAAGAAATTCCACATAATAAATGTTACGACAAGGATGGTTTTGATATTTCGTTACATTAATAACCATTAGGTACTGTTTCGCATGAAGTCAAAACAGTATATTCGGGCAATGCTCAAAAAAAAAACTCATTTTCGCATTGCTGATACAGTTTTCCCATATGTCAAGACGAAGCAATGAATTCAACGTACATGTACGTAGACAATTACATAAAAAAAATATTTTTTTTTGTTACGACCTACGCAAAACAAAGAAAGCCTTGGCTTGCTTATTGAATGACTGTAACGAATACCTCATACTGAGGTCGCTGTTGCAACTTTGGTGCAATATGAGCAAGAAAAGCAACTGTTAATTAGACATGCATTATTTTTTGTAATACCTACAAAATAGAACGAATTTTAAACAACTTAAATAGTAATTCAATAATTTTAATTTTTCTACATCTACAATTTTTTCGAACGTTGATAGAAACTACACTACAAACTGGGGTGTTTCTATTAAAAATATGACATAACGATAACCAACATAATTTGTATATTCCCCATACTATACATGTATACGGTGTTTTATAGGGACAAGTCCAATAACCATTTAAATTATTTGTTTTAATAAAACCAAGGCTCTTTCAATTTAGAACCACTAAAATTAGGTATTAATATTCAGTTGTAAAACATCATAAAATACTATTTTAATGCAAATAATTACGGAAGACTAGCCACACTTGCAATGGGGATAAAATCAAAAGATTCGGAATTTAGGAAACCACAGTTTGAATTAATTTTTATGATACTATTTGTACCTTTTGAAGTACGTTATAGTAATATAGTCCATTAGTCCAATCCAGACGCAGACAGATTAGAGAAACTACCCAATATAATAAGGATTACTATTCTGTAGGAGCTAAGGTAGATAAAATAATTAAAATCCAATTTAATTTTACCTGTAGCTTATGGCACACAGAAATATATTTCCTATTCTGTGTAGAGGAAAGACAAGTTATTATACATAGTTTTTCCAAAATTTGATGCCAAACTAAGATAAGACAGACCAGGAAAATAAGCTGGAAAATGACCATTTCGCGAATTTTTGTTTCGGCAAACTGAATTTATCACTATAGATGCTAAATATTATGTACAATAACATATTAGTTTTCACGGTCATAAAAATGGGGGGAAGATTGTTTACAGGGTGGTTAATTGTATAATTTTTACGTAAATTCACCTTTTTCGCTTATAACTTTTTTCCGTTCATTTCCACGAGAAAACAATAAAGTACTTTTGTTTCGTCTTCAAAAGACCCACAAAACTAGCCCTCGAGCGTCAAGAAATATTGATTAGATCAAAAGTTATAAACAGAAAAAGTGTATTTATGACTTTTGAATTAAACATTTATAAACTGCGTTATTATTACCAGAACGTTTTGGCATCGCATCCTCTCATTCCTTATCACTGTCTAATTAGACCAAGCAAATTAAATCTTTACAGTCTCATTTTGTAGATAATTTTACTCCCTATAAGCTGTCTGAGAGTCGCTTTTCGCTAAAATTGATGGTTTTCCCTGCAAAGTGAAAAAACTGTTTTCCTCACTTATTTGTTTAAATAGAAAAGTTAGCTAATAAAAGTTTTTGACTCACGAGACGAGAGATGTCTTGTATTATGTTCCTTTAGACAATTTTACAATAATCTAGCGGGTAGGACTTTTTTCGAGTAAAAATTTAATTTGCTTGGTCTAATGGTATTGAAACGGCATCAAAGAACACAAAAAGGGTTGAATAAATATCGGTCCTGCATCGGTTTTGGGATTAAACATTTTTATGCACAGAAGTCGGTACAGAATGACCTACATTTTTTTTTATTGAAGACTTTTGATTGGGGCAAAATATTTAAGAAGAAATTACATCGTCCAACAGAGAATCAAGTCTATTAACATTTCTAGCAATTTGGAAAGCGTGTTTCGAAAAGTTATAAAATAAAATTTTGCACAATCATTTTGAGGAAATTTTCTTAATAAAATTTTGTCGTATCTGATTATCCGATACAGAAATGGCATTTTACTGGAAAAAAAATCAAATTTGTGTGGGCAAGCCATACGCTTTATACGCAAAAAAAAGTAATGGACATAAAAGAGTTTTCTACACATTCCAAAATCAGCATAAAAACTATTATTACAGAAATACTCGGGCAAATCAAAAAAATAATCATAATTATTCATTTAAACCGATCACGCAGCACTGTTTGTTCCCAAAAAAACATTCCGCGGATGCCCAACACAACCGATTTAAAGAAAAAACATCCGCAATCAATCAATCTGTCACTAACCATGCCCAATAGTCCTCCCATTCCTTCTTCGCAGCCACCGCAGAAACCGGAGCGCTGTCCCTCCTTCTCAAGGCTACGTTGAACTCTTCCTCGATCTCGAAGTAGATGTCCTCCGCGTCCAAGAAGTCCATGGCTGCGGATGCGGAAGGAGAAGTCACAGAACGGCCCTGCACTAGCTCAGTCACTCACTCACTTACTCACGCCGACCCTCCGTTGTCTGGAGGAAATTGCACGATCAACCATCTCGGCGGGCCAATAAAAAACAAAACGGCTCCGAAATTAATGCAAACCAGGAAGCGGTCTAGCGCGGTCCGGTATTTATATAGAGCGGACGGTGGAAGTGACCGCAGACGGAAGATAAACCGAATATGTGTCACCACGAAGTCGAGTCAAGGAAATGACCGCCGTCGGTCGGTTAGGAATCGATATTGGGGGAAAGAATATCGCCCCCCACGTGCAAGTCGAGCATATCCGGCAGGGGCGTGCCTTGGATTTTTATTTTCAGCTACTGGGGGGGCTATCTCTGAGGAGCCCGTGCACGATATCCCAAATAAACCGGAATAAATTCTTGTATAAAAAATGGAATGTATAGTAATTACTGACGTAATTGTAATTTTTAATGGATAATGTATTAAGCAAAAAACATCTGCCGATACGCCGCACTATAATTTATTTAGACTTAGGTATGGACAAAATTAAGTAGCGCCTCGTAGAAAAAAGATAAAAAATTATAAAAAAGAGCCTTTTAAAGCTTAAGGAGAACAGATTAAGGGATAAAATAATCACATTTCACCAGCACCCCATTTACACCCTCAAAATTGAGCCTCAATATTATACTTTTGGAAAAAAAATTACATTTTTTCTCTCGTTTGAAAAAAATGTTTTTTCAAATGTTAGAAAACATTATTTTATAGTTTTTGAGATGAGGAATAAGAATCCATTGTTTAAATTGAGCTAAAAAAATTTTAGAACCCTTAAATTTACGAATATTTCATTTTATGATGTTTTTAGCTCAGATTTCCGCTCTTATGCATCGATATGCTTGAAATTTGAACAGTAGGTGGGGAATAGCTCAAGAAACAAAATACAGCCTATGCTGATATATATTTTTACCCTGGGGGTGGTTTCTACCCCTTTGAAGGGGTTGAAAATAAATTGTCAAAATAATCCCTGGAATCGATAGAGCAACTAATTTCAAGCAAAAAATGTCCCATACAATTTCTTTGATAAACCAATACTTTTTGAGTTATTTGCGATTGAAAACTCAATTTTCCAAATGAAAATTCATTTTTTC